TGGTCTGTCTGGTCTGTCTGGTCTGTCTGGTCTGTCTGGTCTGTCTGGTGTGTCTGAAGTGTCTGGTCTGTCTGGTCTGTCTGTTCTGTCTGTTCTGTTCTGTTCTGTTCTGTTCCGTTCTGCTCTGTCTGTCTGGTCTGGTCTGTCTGTCTGTCTGTCGGTCGGTCGGTCGGACGGACGGACTGCCGTCCGTCCGTCCGTCCGTCCGTCCGTCCGTCTGTCTGTCTGTCTGTCTGTCTGGTCTGTCTGTCTAGTCTGTCTATGTCTGTCTTCTCTATTCCTTCCTCCTGTGATGGGTGGTGGGAGGCCCATGAAAATTATCCTTTCCTGGATGATGACCAACCACCACCTGTGCCAAGTGCAATCTCAAAACTTGGTCAAGTCTAACTTTGACCAATTCCCCAAAGGGGGCCCATCTAGACCTCTGAACGCAGCTGGTGCGACACTGCAATCAGTGTTACATAGAGAGGCCTGAGCACTGTTAGAAAAACAAAAAAGTCACCCACAAAAGTCAACCCCAACTACAGGCACGTTTTGGACCAGGTGGATCACACAGGGCATCGCGAAAGCCGCCCCACCCTCTCTGGAGGTGCCAAAACCTAGACATGCATTTGTACCAGTTGAACTGGTACATGGTTCCTTGAGACCATATGTGCGTGAAAAACAATTTGTGCGTGAAAACCCTTGAAAATGCATTTGCCAAACTTTTTGGCAATGTCCAACCTGTGAACGTTGACTTCCTATAGTTTCTTTTGAAACATCTGCAGGTTGAAGTTGTGAACGTTGACTTCCTATAGTTTTTTTGAAACATCTGCAAGTTCAAGTCGTGAACGTTGACTTCCTATAGATTTCTCTTAAGTTCAAGTCGTGAACGTTGACTTCCTATAGATTTCTCTTGAGTTCAAGCCTATAGTTTTCTTATTCTGAAACTTCCGCCAGTTATGGTTTTCACTCTTTGTTTAAGCCTTCATATATTCGAGAACACCGTCATGGAAATATCATGAGGTTTGGGACACCTACCAGCTACCAGTACCAAAAACACACGCACACACACGACTCCATGGGGAAACAGCTCAAAAAAAAGTTTCCTGAATAGTTTTCGCGTCTTTGACCGTCGAACGTTGAACGCGCGTGTCGAATCGATCTAGCTATCGAGCCCTCCAACCTATTAGCAATGCGTGGCCTCCAACCTACTAGCGATTCCCCCACATAGCAGCGATGGCCTCCAACCTAGTAGCGATGGCCTCCACTCTAGTATTGAAATTTCTTGGCTGTGGAACCCGGCCACGTGTGTGGCAATGGGTCGAGCATTTTTCCTCGGCCGGCCACGTCGAACGCGCCTGTCTGCTGCAGGGAACAACGGCGGTTCGAGCGTTTTTCCTCACGCATATCTGTTTCTATCTAATATTTTGTATGCATCTAGCCAACAGATTTTGCGAGAACTGGAGCACAATCTGGATGGAATGCCTTGAGCTCGCACTCGGGAATACCATATTCTATATTCTTCAAGATTATATAAGATTGTTCAGACACATATAACAAACATCTTACCTTGGTGCCCGATCACGGTGGCCCATGTGCTGCATGCCACGCGAGTGAGGCAAATCGCGTCGATCCGGTGAGAATTGGAATCGGCTCGCAGTATCTAGCGGGTTCCAAACAATCCAAAGTTCAAAGCCTCAAATCTTTACGAGATGGTGGGTGAACATGTCATTGGGACCATGAAGTGGTCAACCTGGATCCATCCTCAAGAACCAAAGCGGACGCTGCGTACATGTTTGATCCACAGTGCATTTGAGTTGCCATATAGGGATGCAAAGTAAATAACCGGCAATTGACCATAGAGATGAGTCCTGGAAACATTCTGGTTTAAGAGCCAAAGTTCAAGATCGGCGCTCTGCCAACGCAAACACTTCGCCTCCAAAACGTGTTGTTCCAAAACATTTTTTGAGGATGTTTGAGGGCTCTTGTGCTGGTGAGGTGTTCTCTGGGTGAACTACACTTATGTCTGAAATCTAATCCCTCTGCAATCAGTCTAGGATGTTTTGTTGGATGTGTATTCGGCCAGGGCCCAGAAAAGTACCCCAGTGGCACATCTAAGTATTGTGGTTGTAGGATGTTGTAGGAACATGTCGGAAGCGTTGCGCAGGCTCCTTCTGAGGTTTGGGACTCCGGCTTTGGGCCTTCAAGGTCTCAAAAACATTCCTCGATGGTTCCATGTTATTTTGAGTTTAGCAACTATTATCTGTAAATTGAGGAGCGCCGGCGAAGACCAAACTCAGGGCCGGCTCAATGCTCAGTTGCCACCCTCTGACGTGTCGGTGGAGCAAGATCAACCAGATCACCCATCTGTGGTTGAGGGTCAAGGGTTTGGATGGAGTCTCGTATTGTTTCCTCATTCTATCCTGAATTTAGAGTTTAAAGCCGACATAGTCAAAGCTGACCCTAGGCTTGTCAACGTATCAGGGGATGGTGGAAGATGACTACAAACTGCCAACCACCTCTTGGCATTTTTGAACCCGCAAGACCCCTCGCACCTGGTCAGGTATGGCCCTATGGAAAGTGAAGCAGGACTGTACGCTTGCCCCATGGGATGTGGGGAAGCGGTCAGAGACAAGAGACATCCAAGCTAGCTTAACTACAGACACTGATTTTGAAGAGATGCCCAAACTTCCCAAAGAAGTACACTGAATTTGGGCGCTTTTACTGTGCTGGAGATGGTGTTGGCTTCCTGGATGTCAACCACCGGATTTCAGTTCCAGGCCCATGCAACGAGATTGCACATACGAGAACCAAAACAAAGACCGTGAAATGTGAGTTCGGCCTGCGTAAGGAAACCTGAAAGTCTTGAGTCTGAAAAGCCTATGGAGAGTATATAATGTTGTTCTCATCTGATGGACTCATCGGTCTACTTTTTTTCGTGGAGCCTAAATTACACCGGCAAGGGGCCCCAAATAGTGTAAAGAGGAACAGATGGAACATGGCATCACGTGGAAGGAAAGAAGGAGCACACAGATGAGAGCACAAATATGAGAGGATACATACAAGAGCGCAAATGTGAGAGTGCAGATTCACGAGCACAAATGAGAGCACACATATGAGAGCATATGGGAGCACATATGAGAGCACATGAGAGCACACATCTGAGAGCACAAATGTGCGAGCACATACAAGCACAAATCTGAGAGCACATAGGCGAATACATAGGAGCATTTCAAAGTTCACAATGTACCGCGCCTGCTACGAAATCTGCACATGGAGGTTCACAAAGTACTGCGCCTGCCACGAAAACTGCACATTGAGATTCACAAAGTGCTGTGCCTGCTACGAAATCTGCGCATCGAGATTCACAAAGTGCTGCACCTGCCACGAAATCTCCACTTCCAGACTCAGCAAGTGCTGCGCCTGCCACGAAATCTGCACATCTAGATTCACACAGTGCTGCGCCTGCCACGAAATCTGCGCATCGAGATTCACAAAGTGCTGCGCCTGCCACGAAATCTGCACATCGAGCTTCACAAAGTGCTGCGCCTGCCACGAAATCTGCACATCGAGATTCAC